TAAATTCATGCAGATTACTTTTTGGTTTAATATTCTAATTTTCTTTTTATAATTATGATCTCAGATCGAGGATGCCTAATCAATAAAAATCCACGGTCTGAAACTCATTCAATTATAGGTGACTCCACTACCTACTCTTTTCCAAAAAACATCATTTTGAAAAAGGTTTAAATCATTGCTAATTTTTTTTTTTAAATTACAGAGGAAATTTGCCAACAGGTTAAATAAGCAATCTAATAAATAGTGTTTAATATCCTTTTTTGTCAATTCTCAAGAATAAAGAAAATGTATAATCATTGCCAAGGGAGTGAAAAGTGGATATAGTAATAGCAGTGTCAAGGGAATAACTGTCCTTTTGACATGCCATTAATTTACGGTCTCAAAAGCTGAACATTGCCAAAAATTCACTCCCACCACATTAAACGCCCTCTAACCAGTATCACTTACTCTGTTGACGTGTTTCTCTTCTACAACACATTTACTTATTCCATTAGCTTACAAAGCATTTTAAACTGTTGTTATAATTATTTATGCCATGTCAATTATAAGAGGAACTGGTAAAGAAATTATCTGCCCGACCAAAAAGGAGTTTCACTGAAAAATTCTGATGTTTGGTCATTTGGTCAGAGTTTAGGAAGTATGTTGAGCCAAGGACTTTTCAGCACCTCCTCGTACAGTTCAATGATGTTGCTAATCATGAATTTTCTTCTTTTTCTGTCAGAAAGTACAACTTTTCAAACGACAACTGGTGTGCGTTTTGAAGAAATTGTTTCTAAAGCTGACCAGGAGAGAATGAATGATTTTATGTTAGGTAAGTGGAATTATATTATTTTGATTAGTTTCAAATTGTAACGTTATTATTGTGAAGACTAATAAACAGTTGAGGCTAAATCTCTCAGGCATCAAATTGTTGTTTATTTATCTCCGGACTTCATCAATTAATATTGGTTTGAAGATATGTGGCTTTATGGGCTTTCTCCAAACGTGAACTCTTTTTCTTGCAAGGATGTTATAGACTCTCTGTCTTTTCCCTATCAGGTGGGGTACATATATCTTCTTGTTATTCAGTTGGTCCATGTGTGCACATCCTAAGCATAGTTGGGTCAACTACCTGTTTACATACTGAGAGCAGTCTATGAATCAGCTCCTGAAGGCTATGAAATCACATTCTAAGTTAACCTTCTGATGTATTTGGATTCCGGGTCAACACTCATTTATTTAGGAATATGAAGAAGACACTCAGAAGATGTGGTAGGGTACATAAGCGCAATAAAGTTGGAATGCCATGATTGAGAATGAAGGACAAAATTTGGAATCCTAAAAGATTTTAGTTCATTCTTTTACATATTGGATTTAAACCTTTCGTAACTAAAAAACAGACATTCATTTTTGACTGACATTCAGAGATGGTCTACATCTGAAACCATTTTCTCTTCTTCCAGGTGTAAAGATTGCTAGTGGAGTTGTTGCTGGAATTATCGTGTTAACGCTAATATTCATAACTATACACACATACAGAAGGTAAGATTATTTATTTGCCCTGTGCTCCACCTCCTTAAAGTTGCAAATTTAACACAATACTACTATTTGTTTACTGATGGCCATAAGAGTGAGGGTCTGAGGAGATGCAATGAAAAGCAAGTAAAATGAAGATGAAAGAAATACTAGTCAAAAATTAATAATGGCTGACAATGCTTCATGTGATAAAAATTCAAGATAATATTACTACTTGTTTACTGATAACCATAGACTGAGGGTCTGCATAGTTGCAATGAAAAGCAAGTAAAATGAACATGAAAGAAATATTAATCAAAAATTAATAGTTGACAATATATTTATTGGAAAATTGAGGTTTAAACTATTTTTTAAACTTTTTTTAACAAAACTTTTCTTTTCTATAACAGATATGCAAATATGTCAACCCAAAACAAGAATCCAGCAAAGCTTCCTGATGATAAAGAAAACTTATATTAGAATTCTGCAAAAAAAAAAGAAAAAAAAAAAGCAACTGAGCATGCACTACAAATGTATAAAATCCTAGGATTTAACACTGACTTTTGTTTGTGAATATCAAAATCTGGAAAAATTGGAACTCTCACTTTGAAGCAGAAAACAAGTTTCATACCAAAATCTGTTTGAATGCTGAGTCAGTACCAGAAGTCAGTTTTCAAGTTTGCATAAAAGCCAGGATTTCAAATACTAACTTTCCAGCCAGACAGGCTCTTGACTCTTTGAAGATTAGTCCAACACAATCTAAATGACCTTTTCATCAGGACTATTTAGCTTTGTACCAAACTAAGCTAAGCTAGGTTAATATTAATAAAACATGATACTTAGATATTCATCTGACTTTTTCTTCACAGGTTAGAAAACTCTGTCATCCAGGATTTTTTTTATATTAAAAATCTGAATGTCCAAATTCTAAACAATAATAAAATGAAGAGAACATAGGTATGCCTGTTAAATAAATCATTTGTATTTGCAAACATATGTACATGAATTCAATTGAGTCAAAAAAAAAAAAAAAAGTAAAAATATACTTTAAGTCTTTGTATGGTTGGTACACAGAAAAAAAATCATGTTTGAGAAAATACTTTTGGTCCTCAATAAAAATCTGTGATTGAGAATAAATTTTGATCGTCAGCGAAGAATCACTGACCATCCCTGCTGTTATTGTTGATGACTTGTTTGAAGTCATCAACACATTTATTTCAGCAAGCACTGGCAAAAAAGCTATGTAGCCATGTCTTGTGCTTGAGCAGCTTGAAGATAGTCACATCTCTGCTCTTGAAATCAATGGGTTTTATAAGATTTTTTTTCCAATGGTAAACTCAAGAAATATAGTTTTAGTTTTCTCTGGTCAAATATTTTACATGGTGATGTTAATTTCTTAATAGACACTTTAATTTAAACAGCATGTGTTGTATTGTGTTATCTTTCTGGCATGTTTGCAATTGTCTGTTATTGGTTAGAAAATAAAGTTTGGACATTTTAATATGATATGTATGTGGCATGTAACAGTGTTGGAAATGGGGTTTAGTTCCTATGATACTCCCCTCAGATTTATATTTTATCAATGTGTAATGTTTTAAATTTGCTAGGCTATGTGACTTTTCTGCCAGATTTCATTGCAACATTTTTGTGCGTCTTGGGTTTGTTGAAACAAGTTTATGCACTTCTGTGCCAGTTGAAGATGCATGTTCTGTTTTGGGAGATAAACTCAAGTCTGCTGGTTTTATTCTATCTATGGAGACAGTGCCTTATTTACCATTTCTAATGATGACAAAATATTTTTGTTGTCTGTCCACTACTTGAAAAGGTCCTGTTATATAAGACAGAGAGGTCTTTTCACTGCATCATTTAAGTGTGAAATGCCAGCAGTTAAAGGGTGTATAAGCTCAATTGAAAATTTAAGTGTCTCACAGCTGAATAGCTCATGTTTATATGCAGTAAGATCCACTCTAATTGGTTGCAAAGTTACATCAAAGCTACACAATCAGTTCTCCAGATATATATATATATATATATATATATATATATATATATATATATGTCACAGGGGAGTAATAGATAATTCTCAGATTCCCCAGTCTGAGCCCCTGAGTTAATTACATTTAGTTAGGTGCTAGTACATTCGGGAAAGATATGTATTCATCTCTTCTATAAGTAAATATCAATGTAGACTGGGTCCTATAACTATGGACAGTCTAGAAGAACAACTCTGAATTCAAAACCTGCAAGGTGTAGTTTGCCAATCTTGTGGCATACTGTGCACCAGTTCTCTGTATTCGGCTCTTCCCAAAAAGTGTAGTTGATTCTGTACAAACTGCTATAATCAAATATGTTCGGGTAGTCTGGATGTTGGTTCTAAGAACTAAGCTGTTTAATCCTCATATAACAAAGATGACAGGAGAGTTTTATATATATATATATATATATATATATATATATATATATGCAGCAAGTATTCATCCAAACAAGTTTAATTAAAAAGAGTCAACAAGGTCTGTCTGTCTGTCATTATTTTTTTTGTTTTTATTATATTACTTCAATTTTCAGATATATTGAGCATCGTGGTTGAAGTTGTGGATATACTGTCTGGTGTTCACATTTGTTATTTTGATTCAAGTACTTTCAACTTTTGCAGTCATTATCAAGAACCAATGTGGTGTCTTTGTGTTAGTTAGAATTCCTTTGTCTACATCCTGGTATTCTTAGATGATGGATGTTTGAAATGGTCAAGAATGATGTTGTGTAACGGCTATTGGAAATGAGGCCACATAAAAAGAATGCAATTTATTTAGGGTTCTTGAAAATAACTGCAAAAGTACTTGAAAATGTGGACTTCAGGCAGTTTATCCACAACTTTGAGTGCAATACTCAACACCTTATCTGAAAATTATAAACAGACACAATCTTGTTGGTTCTTTTTAATCAAACTTATTTGGACATTATATAAAATAAAAATAAAAAATAGTGTTACAAATTGAAATATTATTTTTTAGTAAATATTTTTCTTTATTAAACCAATATTTTTAGTTTTTTTATAAAATAGAGTTAAAATTTTAAATAACAAAATTTTACAATTAATATTTTTTGATTAAAAATAATTTTATCATAAAATCTTTTTTTTTTTTTTTAACAATTCAGATTTTCTGTAAGAAATGCCAAACAAAATAATGTAAAATAAACAGATGCCAATTTCAGTTATCTCGAACAGAAAAAAAATATCTGTTTTAAAATAGGAGGCAACACTTTCCAGAAATGAGGTAACAATTTATTCCATACCAAAATATATAAAAAATTTTTAATTTTTTTTTTTTTTTTTTTTTTTTGAATACAGAGATAGATTAAAAAAAAATATTTCGTCCAATTTGGAAAGAGTCAATTTTGGGAACTTTTTTTTTTTCCTTTTTAATAAATAACTGCTTAGAAAGCAAAGCAGATTGAATGTTGAAAAAGGCAGGATATGAGAAAGACAGGATCTGGTCAAGAAGAGATCATTGGTTGGCATTGACAATACCCTCAAAGGAAAATCTGCAGGAAAAAATATATCAATTAAACAACAACTAATAATGTCAGAATGCAGATCTTGTCTTGTTATTGATATCAAAATCCATTTTTTTCAATGCAATGATTCTATCTTAAAATAGATCAATTTTGAAGTACCAAACATAGGCCTCTGTACATGATTATTGAGATGGTGGGGAGGTAGAGAATGATGCTTTCAATTTAAAATGGGACCTATTTATCAAGATATTTTTTTTACTAATCACTCTGAAATAGTTTCAACTGATTCACTGATGTTTACTGACAGTTCTCTGAGGTTCTTGGATCAGTTTCCATTACATAATTATCACTGATTAATGGATTTAGTCAATCTCTCTTCCAGTTTTATAAACTGAAATCTTCATTTGAAATCTTTTTATAATATCAAGAGCATTATTTCTAATGATAGTATTTTAGTATTTAATATTTTAGTCTTAATGATGTCAACTTCCATCATGGCCAGAAAGGAACCCATGCAAGTATAAAATCTAAAAATAATGAATGATCAGACCAAAAATGGAGTACTGTTGTCATATTGTTTAACTTAGGAAAGAAAAGAATAATAAAAAAAAAAATACATTACTGCTAATCAGACACCGAACAACTGCCAGTCACAATGAATGGATAATCCCCTCGAGGAGGTGCCATGCCTTGAGAGAATATTGGGCCTCAAGCTCACACCAAATTTCAAGTGGAAATCTTATATATGATCCATTGCTAAAGATGCAGGTAAAATGATTGCTCTCCCTGTACTGCTCTGGTAAGTACCTGACCTCTCATGCTATCCTCTACCTTTATAAGAGCCAAATCAGAACAAAAATGGAGTACTGTTGTCATATTTTGGTAGGAGTTGCCCAGTTCTCACTTTCTAATCTTGGTAGAGTCCATAAGTATCTGAGAGTCCTTGTTAGAGAAGAATTATTTTACACTCTCCAACCTCTCTCTCACAGGCAGGATGTGGCAAGCCTCTCATTGCTTCCATAGAAAGTGCTCAGACAAACTACATTCTTTGGTTTTGCCTTTACGGCTAGGACCCACCATGCCAATTGTAGCAAACCATCCATGTTCCCTCTCTATTCCATTGACAAAAAGTAAGTTTCACTTGAAGAGCTTTTTTCCATAACCACTGCCTGTCTGTGAAACAGACTCCCAAAAGAATGTTTCCCTGATCACTACAATCTTAACCTGTTCAAGATTAAAGTTAACCTTTATCTTCCCCTCTTATCAATATAAACTAACCCTTAATGTAACCCTCTACCTCAAGCAGACCTTGGGCTTTGTATAAGGGAAACCTTATTGTAAAAAATAAAAAAACATATTTACTGAGTAATCAAAAAATAATGTATTATTTAAAAACTAAAACATCGATTAAAATGTCATAAAAATAGAAAAAAAGTCAACCTTAAAAACAAAATTAGCCAAAAGATCAATTTAGCTAAAAATCTTTGTACAAAACTTGAGTAATTATTGAATCAATTGCTAATTATAAGAAAAGTATTTATTTCCAAAAGAAGTTGTTTCATGTGTAATTAGGCACAATAGAAACATTGAACTTTCTCTGCTACTTCACAGACTTAAAGGTCTGAATGCAGTTGGAGATGCTGATCAAAACATATAACATTCACACTTAGAAAAGAATTCAAATTCATAAAGTTTATATTCATCATTTATTAAGTTAGTGCATTTTGCACCACTGTGGTCACTACCACTTCCCACCATCCCACACTTGTGGTTCATGATGAGTTTATATTATTATTATTTTGCTTCTTTGTTTTTGTTTTTTTTTTGTCCTGCTGCCCTCAGAAGAAACTTTTTCTCTTAACCAAAGTAATGGTAGTAGTCAAGCAATGGGCTACCATAAATTCAATCAAGTTTTGAGAAAAGGCAAAAAGAGTTAAACTGACACAAGTGGTACTGCCTACCCAAATATCTTGTGGGATATATCTGTCCACAAACTATTCAAAGTCTTCTAGTAATTGTTAGAAAATCTGCCATAAGGAGAGTGGCCCATTCTGCGTCCAAATCTTTGGAAACCAAATTGTCCAAAACCAGGAGAGCCATAACTTTGAGGTCCATATCCTTGGCTGTAACCAGTGTCATATTCTTGTTGTTCATCTTGAGGTTGTCTATTTTGTCTTTCATCTGCAAAAGAAACAAGTCAACTTACAAATGTTTTCAAGCATCTGGATAGTCTAGAGATGATTGGGGAAATTTTAGTGAAGAGTGCACAAGTTTAGAGGACAATTTAACAAAAAGAATTCTTTTCACAAGATTTTCTTTTCCTTATTTCTTTTGTAATACAAGAATTGTATGCTTTTACTTGCAGGTTTTTGCATGGTTCTGCAAATTGTCCTAATACAAGGATGGAACAGTCAAGATTGATGAAGCAAGTTCAACAAACATTTAACATAGCCAAGAAAATTTTAGCCACTAAAGGAGATGACAACTTAAAGAGCCTCTTATGGTGCTTTTTTTTGTAGCTAATGAACTCACTGCCATTGAAATTACATCTCCAACCAGTGCAATAATCAAGTTTCTAGTTCCAACTAAGGGTAGAAACTACTTTGGTTGATGACATTGCACAGGTCGAGTCAACTTTTGTCATATGATGGGACTTAGGTGTAATGTCAGTTTCAAGTGATGGTAGACTCTGGAATGTTCCAGAAATACTGGTTATGAAAGCTTATAAAGTAATTCAAACTGCAAATCACCATTACGAGAAGAAATGCAGGAGGGTTGTTCAAACTGCCTAGAAAATCTTTCATCATTTCCAATAAATGTAGTTTTACTCATCTCAATTTTTTTTTATTTTATATATTTGAAAATTGACTTTTAGGGCCTTACAATAAGCATTTGTTTGAAAAATTGACCACTGGTTCATTTTGTATAACAAGTTTCAAAGTTTTTATGCTGTCAGTCCTTTTTGGGAAAGGAAAAAATTGTATAAATTTACAAAATTTTCAAAAAAACAAACAAATACATTTATGAGAAAGAGTTTTAATATTATAGACAAGATAACTGTTCTGTTAAATTCCTCATTTAAAAATGAGTAAAGTTTCAAAGCTTCAGGCTTGTACACCCACCAGATAATTTTTTTATAATAAGTTCAAGAAAATATATTTTTTACCCTGTTTTGCCCTACTATCAAATTTTGTTTCTGCCTGTAGTTATATTGTGAAATAAGAGTTGTTTTACTAATGTAGCTTAATCTCTAAGATACTGTGAAACATATTGAGAAGTTTCAATGACTTAACTGTAAAATTGAAATTTATATGAATGGTCAAATTTACCTTCCAGTTATTTTTGCACTGTTTTTAGGGTGGAATGTGATCCCCACCCACTTTTTAAGCTAGTCTTATATAATAATTATTAATTCCATTAGTATTATCTTTCTTTTATTACTTAATGACATTGCATTTATAATGATTTTTCACTTGCTTGAAGCCTTCATCTTCACATATAAACTCTTAAAATAGGCTTCTGGCCCATCACACTCAGGACAGAAAATCCAACAAACTTTGAATGGTCAATACTCAGTTGCAAATTGAGCTAGCAAAATAAATTTGGTACTATTTTTTGTTTTGTCAAACTCTACATAGCTACATGAAAAGCTTTTAAATATATTGAAGAAAAATAGTTTGGAATACTTATTAGAAGGGACAGGAAACAAGAGATGAATATGGCAATAAAGATGAGGACAACAGTCTGAACAATATAAATAATCCTTCTTGATGGTTCCAAGGCTGTCAATGGGATTGAAGTCAGGTGAATTTCTTAGATCCCTGACAATTAAATCTTGACACGAGATAAAATAAAATGTCTTACAAATTTTTGTGCAGCTCAATCTGTTTTTTCACTAATGAGTCAGCCACCAAACCCCAGAAAAGCAATAAATATTTACAAAAAAAAAAAAAAAAAAAAATGGAAAGGTGCCAGATTATTAAGAGGAAGCATGCTCCTTTCAGAGAAAACATTTAACTTCAAAAAGTTAGCTTTATTAGAATAATAGAACAAGACTCAAGCTTTAAAAAATAAATATAGAATTAAAGAAAATCGCAGAGTAAAGCAGCCAAAACATTTTAATAAGAAAGCAATGAAAGACAAGAGAATTAGTCTACAGATTTCATGAATTGTTTATACAATGTACAACACAACATTGCATTTTTTTTTTCATGAATTAAAAACTGTGTATTGTATTCTTATTTACTCCATATTAAAAATAGGCTCCTATTCCATTAGAAGAAAATGAAAAATTTAACCAAAACATGAGTCAAAGTAGAACATGTATTTACCTGGTGGGAAGATTGCATACATGATTGGCTTTAAAGGTCCTTTGGTATAAAGTAATCCAACAACAATACCTGACAAATGACCTGCACAAAGATAATAGCAATTAATTGTGAGAAATCTATACATTTACATATTGCACACAAAAGTTCACAGAGGAGGAAATGTAGTAAAAGAGAATATATAAAAAAAACAAGACAAAGGAAAAAAAAAAAAAAAAAAGAGATCAGGATAGGTAGAGAAAGAATGGAAACAGCAAGTTTAAAGGTAAAGAAACTAAGAGAGAAGAGGAAGAAGTCAAAAAGGATAAAAGACAGTGGGGGGGTATCAAGTGAAAAGAAAAAAGCATGAGCATGAAAGAGGAGTTACCAAGGAAAGAGAAAACAGTAATGAGGGGTAAAATTAGGGCAATTCCAAAGAAGGTGGTGGTGGTGGAGGTAAAAAACCAAATCAAAGAAAATGAGAGTCAAAAAGGACTTACCAATGAAAGAGGACTGTGGAGCAACCATTTGGATAATGAACAATTCACTCCAGTACATCAATCGAAGAGGAATAGGAATTCCAAACACATATTGGCGTTGATGGGGTGATGCTTGATCTTGTAGAACAACTTTTATGGCAAAAATTACAGCTGGAAACAAATATAACAGAAAAATAGTAATACAAAGCACACATGTGATCAAAGCAAGTTAGTCAACTGAAGAAACCTACCAAGCAAAATTTAAATGATGCATTTACTGGTGATTGGACATTGTCATAATTGATAAGAAACAGTCACAAGGTAAGGAGAGATAGCCTTCATTGGTAAATACTAAACAGTAAAAGTTTATAATTTCAAAAATGATTATTACTTAACAAAATAGATGGATTAAATAACAAAGCAAACAAGATTCTCTAGCCTTGAGTGGCAGTTAGTCTAAAAGAACAACTCTGAATTCAAAACCATGGAGAAAGCAACAACACTATCTTTCCCCAAAAGAATCTAGATAATTCACTTTATAGATATTAAACAGAAATTTATGGAGAACTGTCATCACATATACCATGAAGAAATGTAGCATTCTTTCTTTCTTTCTTTCTTTAAAATAGTTTGTGTAGGAAAATGCTGTTAGCTTGCAGGCAAATCAAAAATAGATTCACAAATGCATTTCACACACTAAATTATTTCTAATAGACATATCCAGTTGTCCTCATGTCACAACTAGACATATATAAAACTTTGTATGTTTGAAATATATCTAAACTTGATTTTCTATTTTCATATGTATGTGGCCATTTTAGAAGTTAAGGAATAGAGGGAAAGAGTGTCATGTATGATTGCAAAACTAAAATAGATTTTAATGACTAGAAAAAAGGTGTCATTAAGTCTCTTCTCAGTTTTTAAAGCACACAGCATTAATCTAAGACTATTTTATCCTTTCCTGTAATTCTTTATATAAAAGGAATACAAGTTCCAATTTCATTATGCAGACTGCCAAACTAAGTCATACAACTGAACAACTCCCCATTCTGCTGACTGACTTATTTCCATGCCAGTGGAAATAATTATTTCTGTTAAGTTTGAAAACTTTTTTCTTATGCTTTTATCTTGATCCAAAACACTAGATGACATGACTAGTAATTGTGATCTGACACAACTTACAAATCACTAAACTACATATCTTACCATGAAAGTATTCTAATAACTGGTGTTTTATGACTAGTATTTACTTGTATTTATTTATGACTAGTATTTACTTGTATTTATTTACGACTAGTATTTACTTTCATACACATTCTCCAATTATTTTACTTTTATTCATTATTATTTAACATATTCAAGAATTTGCTTTTCAGTCTAATTTTTCATGATTTTCTCAAGTCCAATGTGTAAGAATTTGAACTAATTTGTCCTTATTGTTTTGTTTGCAATTACAGCAAGACTGACAGACAATTAAAATGAAGGCACAACAACTACAATAATATGAAAGAAGAAAGTGCGATCTAACTGGTTATCGCTCATCTTTAAATTATTGAAAGAACAGAAAAGAAATCATCTCACTTTATATCTGCTAGAATATAACATTTTTAAAAATTTCTCAATCTCACTGACAACTCACTTTTGGAAGGTCTGTTTTAGAACATAATTACATAGTAATTTTGGGAAATTAAAATTGTCAGTTGTTTTTTTTTTTTTTGTTTTTTTTTAAATCCATAGCTTTCATGTTATTAATACCTATGCTTAGCCTACTGATTGGATAATTTGATCAGCCATACTTGATTTTAAAGTTTCTGTAGAAGGGAAAACAGCTTACCTCCTGGAACAAAACATGCTCATACACATCTCACATGCAAAAAAAAAAAAAAAAAAAAAAAAAAAAAAAAAAATGTAAAAGAAAATATGGCTGATCCAAAAGCTACAATTTAAGAACAACTAGATCTCAAAGCTCAGAAATTTTGAGAGACGAATTTGTGGTTAATGGAAATTTCCAAGCCTCAGCCACTCGATAAAATCAGATGGGCAGCTGAGGCAAACGAGTCGAGTGGTTGTGCTTTGCGTGTGGAGTTTCCCTGTAGTCTTACCAATTGTAATAGAAAAGAAAATAGATTACAACTGGTACCTCCAAACAGCCGTACCTTTTTTGTTACATTTTCCCCCATGGATCTGAGGCAAGATGGAGAGTACAGTGGTTGAAATGATGTGATAATAAACAAAAAAGATGACAAAATTAGTCTGAATGAACCAACAAAAAAGAAAACATTCAAACAAAAAATGTTGGCATTTGCTTTTAACCCTTATCCAATCATTCAGAAAATCAGAAAATATTAACTATTAGCATACAGAAAAAGAAATTCAATTTTTAACAGGTTACATAAAATAAATAAAACAAGATGGGGTGTACAACATGCAGGTTGATAGAATTTTCCATGTAGACACATGACTGGTCTTTGGAAGGTTAAAAGAATTTATTGTCATAATGATGATTTTTTTTTTTTTTTAAATAATAACAAACATTCTTATTTACCTGAAAATCCCACAGCACAGGTAAGCTCATATTGAGCATTTCCAGTGACAATCATTAACAGAACGTTGAAGCCGACCAAAAGAGCTCCTGACAAGAAGGTAAAAACAATCAACATGAAGGCGAAAAATTCACTTGTCAGTTTTCTTTCAAGCATAACACCTTTTGAGAGAAATGAGACCATGTTGTAATAAAGGTGCATGTCATTAAAATGGCAGAAGGCCCCATAGAGGAGACGTTGCCACTGATTGTGGGTCCAGACATGGTAGACACTAATGCAAGCTTTTTCTACAGAAGGAAATATCGGCCGTGGAAGAAAGTAGTCTTCATAGTGAATAGCAACATGGCCCAAGGTAGTGAGCAGGGTGATTGGTGGGATGTGTGTCCAGCCACCAAGTTTCATCAAATGGTCAAAGAGAAAGATAAGGATAAGAAGGGAGCCTCGGTTCCTTCGCCCATCCATCTTGTGACAAGCTAGACAAAAAAAAAAATAAAAAATTATTATTTACATTTTATATCTTATAAACTCATTCAAACTGGTATCCTCATTCTGCTTGTTTTTACAGTATCAGTTGTATTCTTTGGCCTTCTTCTGGTGTCTATTAATATTTTTGAAATTTCAAATCAAACCTTTTATTTTGTTCAAAGAAGTAAACCATTCTCATTTCACAAACTGAATAAGGAGTTCCATTTGTGTAGTGAACTAATACAGAACTAGGTTCCACTACTAGTTATCTTGATACTGACATATCATGATGGTTAATAAGTGAATAGCTAGTAAACATTTGAGCAAACCACTCTCCCATAACTACTTTCCCTGCTCAGGTAGTTGCCACAAATGGCCATTACCTCCTCTGTTGAAAACTAAATGCAATGCTTAAGGCTACCATATTCAATGTTAACATGATGAAGACTAAAAACCTGAAACATTGGGTCAAAAACTACCACCATAAAATTCTATTCCTATCTATTCTGGTCCACTAAAACAAAGTATTGTCTCTACTGTAGAATTAAAAACAAAACATTGTTGGTTACAAATCAGAACAAGCAAATATGTGGAATGAAACTAGTTTGGTTTTGAACAAACTGAATTTTACAAGTCAGTCCTTCTCCCATTGAAGCTGGGCTAAGTCAGAAGAAAGATGAGCTGCTAGGTTCTGGTCATCCAGATTTTTGGATGTGCACCTATAAACTGTTGTATCATCCACATAGATATTGACTAAGGATTGGAGTACATTCTTAGACAAGTCATTAACAGAAAGTAGAAATAGGGTAGGACCAAGAAGAGGACCCTGGGGAACACCAGCATTGATCTTATGGGCTTCCAATGACTGGCCATTAACAACAACATTCAGGGACCTACTTCTTAAGAAGGACTTTATAATTAAGAGAAACATTCAAGAGATTCCATAGCTGGAGTGTTTATGTAACAGCACCAAATGCCCTACCTTGACAAAAGCCTTTGATATATCTAGGCTGATGGTCCTCCTGATATAAAAATTCAGAGAAAATAAAATACTTATCTGACTGGTAAAAATTTGTAAGAACTGAATATTGTCCATAGGTATTTACAACTACTTCCAGACCTTCTATACATAAACAAATGTTTCAAATTGCTCATTTCATTATCATCCATGATTGGGTGGTGCTGCTCAGTTGAAAGTTCATTTCAGAATTTCTTTTGACTTCACAGTTGACTTTCATATTCAAGTACTTAATATCTCATAGATTGGCTAGCCTTATTTGTCATGGTATGTTTTTTGTATTATATACTACTGGAAAGTCATTGCCAGTTTTATTAGAAAAAAAAGGTAGCCAGCAAATTTGACATACCCTTAGTCCTCAAAGTAATCCCCATCAGCATCTAACCTTTTGCCAATGTCTCTCCCATGCACAATGGCCTGGAAGTAAAAATCAGGTGTCTTGGACACAAAGAAGTCTGTTTAGCTGTTGTTCTCTTCTATGGCCACCTTCAGGGCATCATCATCCAGGACCAGTTGCTGGACACTGTGGAGGTTCATCACAAAGGAACAGATCAACTGACCAATGCCTGGTGGTGTGTTCACTCAAAGCATTATTCCCAAAGGTTGGACATATTTGGTGATTTGATGCAGCAGAGGACAAGCACACCATAAGCTGACAACCCCAAATGAGCTGCTTCAACACTGCCATGTTTCCTCATCACTGTAGAGTGTGTGTGCGTGCAATGTACCACTATTGGTCACAAGCAATGCCACCACCTCTTTCCTGGCACATGATACACTCATTCGCATATCAGTAATAACTTCATCCCACACAACGTAAAAAACATGGCAAGGACTTTTTTTTTAGTTACCTTATACTTTAACAATGGTTTCAAAGAAATGTTTATATCTTATACATGTTATTCATTCTAAATATTTTTACCTATAAAATGCTTGTACCAGATATTCTTTTGAACAGGAGTAGAGGTTTAGTCCTGGTTTCCAGTTCTTTCTCCTAAAGTTTCGTAATACTCTTTCACACCCAGTAGCCCATTGTATCTTGGTGGCATTTTCACCTTGCTTAGGATGAAATGATTGAAAAATATATTTGTACTAAGACCTACTTTTCCCCAGTCATCTTTAAAAAAAATGCATCACAAACTTCTAACAACTGTATTCTATTTGGATACTTGTTTTGTTATATAAATTCTTCACATCCAACCAACCAACCATCATTTACTTTCTTAAAGAATTCTCATGTTCTGTACATGAAAATTTACTACTAGTGGGAGAGTGGACATATCTCATCCATTCAGTTATTAATAGTAGTAGCACTAACCAGCCCTTTCCACAAAAAGGCCGACAACAAAAACCTTTCAAATTAGGACTAGTTTCCACTATGGAAGTGAAGCACCTCTAAAAAAAAAAAAATTTCGAAAGTGTAATGCACAAAAAACATAGATCTGTTACCTGACAACTTAGTTCAAGAGCCAGGTGCTGTAAAATCAGCTTTTCTTACCCATATATGACAGACAATAATACTAGCTAGCATATAATGGAATGCGTTACCAGTAAAGTTATTGCCATGTTGGGAACCCGTACAGAATGTTAAAAAAAACACCTGCCAGTACAGTGGCGCGTTCACAAGACAACACAAATGCTTCCATCCATAAGGAGGAGAGAGAGTTATCTTGGACTGGAGATGTAATCTCCAAACAAAACCTTGTTGACGACAATAACAAATGAATTGCTTTCCTGCTCGTCTGTGTGGTTGATGTACACGCAAAAAAAAGATGAATATAAATGTGTAGGTAGAATACAAGGTGAATTTTCACTACTTTTCCCCACAGAAAAGAGAAAAACTCGTCAACCTTTACAGTACACTATGGCTCCGAGCAGCACTTGTAAATTTGGCTCAATGGTAGAGAGAAAAAATCCTAGTAATTTTACACACAAACATTTTTTTCCACAATGTGTTCCGTCGGGTTTAGTATCAGAAATAGCCTCATAACATGGCCAGATTTTGGCAAAAAAACTACGTAGAAAAAAAAAAGTTCTAACAACGTGTTCGTCACGTAAGTAGTTGTAAATATAGATTAAATAAATTATACCGCATCTTTGGCAAAGAGACAGCATCATCTTTCTTATTTTCATATTACAAGTGTTTATTGGTCAAAAAGTTGAATTATATTTCATTTTAAAATTTAAATTTATTATGCAAAAAGAAAATGTTTGCTCACAATATGAGGCGATGGAAAGCAATCTAAGGGAAGTAATTCAGTATTTGGTATGCGAAAAAGATTATTTCTTCGGGCGTTAAATTCGACAACAATAAGTAGAAAAGAATTAAAATCAAAAGGACTGAAGTTTTTTATCTTTTTTTTTTCCATTGAACATTACAACAAACGAATATTAAAAAAAGTAAATGGTGCCAAGATCAGCCTTGTAAAGTATGTACAAAATGTAGTGTGTCGTATTTAGATTAAAAATAAAAAAAATATTGGTAATACTAATAAAAATAATGACTTTAAAGTTTAGGATTAAAAAAAAAAAGAGAATAGGATCTTTTTTTAGAGAAAATAGATTATTAAATTTTATAATTACAGCTAAAAATGAACAAAATTATCTTCAGTGCAAAAAATACTGTCTCTTTTTTCATAGAACAATAAATCGAGAATACTACATAATATAACTGTAATTAACCATTTGGTGTATTGAATATTAATTATCTGTGAACCGAAAGGGTAATTAAAAATATTCCAATCTAAATACTTTCTTTTACTTTTACAATTTCATTATAAAATTAAATTACTGAACTGAAAAGATCAAAAGAAGGAACATGTAAAGAAGAAAAACATTAGACAACCTGATTGCCAATAATCAAAATAGATAAAGACTTGTAGACGGATAGATTTTGTTACTTACATTGTTGAAGAAAATTAAGAATTACCAGGTAGATGAAAGAACTATAACGAAACAAGCAATCTGATGTAAGTGAAAGTCCTCTTTACAACAGCCGTCCATGACATTGGTTTAGAGTTACCTCCTCTTAGTTGCAAAGTTTAACCACCTGCGCCACCTTAAACAACTAAAATTAGGCATTTTTTCTTCGAATTCATTGAAAAAAATTCAATCAAAATCATACAATAATATTTTTGTAAGTAAATATAATTTTCTAATGTATTTTTATGATTTAAATGAATATGGCTTGAACTTATTTTGGAAATTAAATTTTTTAAACTTATTTTGGAGTCAAATTTGCCTCCACTATGTCATACTTATATAGCCCCAATTGAAGAGATTGTTCCTGCTCAGCAATGTTTATTTCATAAAGACAGATAGCTGACCCATCATTATAATAAACTACCATACATAAATGGGCTTCCCAAAATTGACAAAGACAGACTTCCCTTTGGCAGATAGTCAGTTGTTGATGCCTGTAGTGAATACAAAATAATAACTCCCTTCATGGTTGCCCATTCCCTTCAAATTTAGGCAAGCTGAGGAAAAAGATGGAAAGAAATTTGCAAGTCTTGTGAAATTTTCTTTGGACCAATGAAAACCTTGCCTTCACAGAGATTGGCTGGTGAGCTGAGGAAAAAGATGGAAATAAATTTGTAAGTCTATGTGAAATTGATTTTGGAGCAATGAAAACCTTGTTGTTACAGAAATTAGCTGTGTAGGTAAGAAAAAGAAAATAGCGAGCCTATGTGAAATCCTTTTTTATATAAAATGTGGAAAAAAATTAAATTAACAAGAGAAGAGTGTCTGAAGTCATGTGAAAGGTTTCATTTCTGTTCAAGCATCCAACATTCAAGTTCTTGCCAGTGCCAAATTACTCACCAATTATACTATTGGCTTATAACCAAGCATATGGCACTTCGAAGAATTTTCTTTCAGCAATCCAAGAAAGTTAAGTACTTCAAACTATCTCTCTTTGTCTACTTTTGAACCTATGCAACTGTATATCCCATCTGTGAGCAACAAATTCTCTTACCTTTGTTTAAACATTTGAATATTATTTTGTGTCAGATCATTTAGTCTGTAGAGGACTGGGTGTGTTTGTTTGTTGTTGTATTAGAAACACGTGTGTAACTCCTGGTAGAATATTAAAAGGTCCAACTACAAGAAAATTGCCAGACTCAAGTTAAGTCCAACTGAAGATGTAAAGAAGACAAACAAGACCGATATATATATATATATATATATATATATATATATATATATATAAACAAATATATGTATTAAACTGTTGTGTAGGAACCTACCACCCCTCTTGAAGATGAACTCATCTACAAACAAGGACATAAAAGAGTGGCATGTAAAAAGACAGTGTCGAAGAAGTTCTGAGCTGAGTTAGTTATAGACTACTCAGGCGATATCTGTACCAACTTACCAACCGAATAAACCCCATTTTATTGTTACATGTTATTTGGCGTTTGTCTTTATTAACCCCAAATTAACATCATAACATAAACAAAACAATTTTACAATGGACATAGACAATAATATTTGTGTGTGTGTGAACGTTTGTGTCTGTTCTTTGGTGAATGTTCATACGTACGTGTATGTGTGTATAATGTTCATGGCGTCTCCCACAAATGGGAAAACATGGATCTTCTAAGAGAGCTTACACTGTAGTCACTGAAATGAAGAAATGAAAAAGAGGATTTACCCCACCTCCACGCAAGTTGAGATGCAACACGAGGCCTGAAAGAACAAGAACGAGGCAAGAAATCGCCCAGTATTTATAGTATAGGGAAAATTACCCCCCTAGTGACAATTTGGGAATTAAGGACGACCTAACTCCGACAAATCCATTGTATGAACATTTCATCTTCATGACAATTTGTGAAAATGACAAACTTTCAGAGTTTCTGATTTATTTTCCTGAAATGAGCTGCCGACATTACTTCAATCATGTAAATTCATAAATAAATTCCTTATCTTGTTTTGTTAAAATTATCCATGAGTTTCCTTGTCATTATCATCCTCCATTAAACTTCTTGGCATGGGTAAATCAACTGTTCATTTTACCCCTGAAGACCCATGCCACTATAGGGCTTCTTAGCAGATTCCTTATAAATATAATCATGTCTGCATGGGACAATAGCTGAGTAGGTTAAAGTATTAGTTCATGAATTTGGTGACATTATAATTGCGAGTTCAGTCCCTGGGCTAGGTAGTGCTAGATTTAGACACAGTGGTTTCCAATAATTGATCAGTACTAAATTGGAACAAGACAAGATATTCCTAGATATAGATAGCAGAACAGCAACAATCTATCCCTGTAGATTAAATAAAGGATTCAATTACAAATTCCCTGAAGATTATCCAGATTGACAGACACCTGAAAACAATCCGGAGAGCTCAACAGCCATGTTGATAATAACCAAGATGAGGACATGTTCAAATGTAAATAATAGTAACTCCTCACTTTAGAAATTCAGACAGAAATTAACTATCAATCATAATAGTCCACATGTCAATCCTGTGTTACATCACAAGTAAATAATATCCCAAATCTATTCTTCTTCATTATAAAAAATATAGGTTATCACCCTTTGGTAGATAATGCCAGCTGATAGAAAGATGGGTTCATTTATCTGATAATAATGGGTAAGTCCCAAAATTAGGTGCCAAATAGAATTTAGGCACCAAAGCAAAGAGGCCAAGACAACCACGAACAGAATAGATATGTTTTAGCCTACTCTAAGAACAGGCAATGCTGGCCATGAGCAAACCTGAATGATGCAAGGACAAGCAGCTATCAAAAGAAGATATGAGCAACACCAGATGTTTAAATTTATTATAACAGACACAGGTATTTGGATATTGTCCGTCATGCCATGACTTTTAACTACTAAAGGAATACATTTTTTAGAAATCCTCTATTCTCATTCTTGTTGTATAATGTATTTCTTATATAAAGTATGTTTTTTAAACTGTTCAATTATCTCATCTTTGTTCATCAGCTATGACTCAATTTAGGGAGTTGTTAAATTTCCCACATCATTTTGAAATATATAGTTTTGTACTTGTCATATTGAAATATATAGTTTTGAAGTATATTGAAATATTTTGAAATATTTAGTTTTGTATGTTGTATTTTCATAAATATTTACATTATGTAAATATCAGTTTTTTCAAGTTTAAGCCATTGTTAGCATAAAATATTCTTTACGATAATTTGAATTCAGATTTTGTTTTCTTCTTTATTGTACTAAATTCATATTAACAATGATTTCTGATTTTATATCTGAAACTGAACCTCAAAATTTGACACTTATTAAATGATTCATCCATTTACAAATTACTTGTTAATTTAAAAATGTACACATGTAAGTATAAATCAATTGTGCTTTATTTATTTGCAATGGTTTTTTTGTCTTCATTTTTCTTTGTTCCTTTTTCTTCCATTTGTTGAGAAAGCTGTTCATCATAGTAGTTCATAAGCTTCACAAGTTCTTCAATTCTCCTAAAAAATAAAAGTAAAGAAAATCACTCCTCATACCACAGCCAAGAGGTGTTAAGATATATCATAAATCATAATCATAACATATATGACAATCTAAATGACTATATAAGCTTATATCCTTGCTGTTAACTTTCTAAATGCTTCAAGAAATCAACCAGAATGATTGTAACCTTTTTCAGCCTTTATGTTATTAAACTGTCAATAGTTTTTACATCATTTATTCCTTCTATCCATACTTTTTTTACCTTTCAAGAAATTTGTTATCTCAAGAAAACCATGGCCCACTTAAGTGAACAGGAGTATTCTTCAATAATCTCATCCTGGTGAGGACATAACATTAGACAACTAGATGACTGCATCAGGTAACCAGTGACAAATGAAAATAGCAAGCTGATAAAAACAAAGATGCCTGCATCACCTTACACCTCACCTGATAACACCTTGCTGTGTTATATTTGGTGCAAGTAGCTATAAGACATGTATATTTGACACCATGACCAATCAAACGTTTACAAAGACAAGAACAAAAGCATACTTTTACATGTTTTTTACAGACTTTCCCACATTATTACACACAAGATAAAAAGATACAAGAATAATCATATACAGTTAATTAAATAAAATCAGTGACTCTCTTTCTTGCTTTCTCTCTCTTTCTCTCTATCTCTCTGATTCTTTGTATCTCTGTGACTTAGACTCTCCTTCTCTCTCTCTCTCTTTCTCTCTCTTTATTTTTCTCATTCTTTCAATTTCTCTCTCTCTCTTTCACTATTTCTTTCTCCCTCGCTAATTTTTGTATCCCTCTTTCTCTTTGTAAAATAGACTCCCTTTTCTCTCTCTCTCTCTTCCCATTTCTTTATTTTTTTCAATTTTTCAATTTCACTCTTTCTTTCTATTTTTCTCTCTCCAGCTGATTCTTTGTATCTCTGTTTCTCTCTGTAACCCAGACCCTCTCTCTCTCTTCCTCTCTATCCATTTCTTTATTTTTCTCAGTTTTTTAATTTCTCTTTCTCTCTCTCTCTCTCTCTCACACACATGCGCATTTATATGTATAGAGATAAAAGACAACAGAAAAACTATTATTAGCCGAAGCATTTCATCCAGTGTGTACTTTTCAAGGCAAAAATGAAATGAATTTATTGAAAACAAAGTAACTATTAACAGCAAACAAAATGTCCTTAGCAACTAGAAGAATTTAGAAAACGCTATTGTATTCATATTGTCAACTGAAAATTACATCAAGTACTGTCACATGTGGAAATATTGTATTTATTGTTGTGTTGATGGATTCAACCATTTTCTTTTGATTTCTTGATATATTTGTGTACATTGGCTTGGGAGAGTAGTAATTCTGTTAGGAAAGGTGATATTGGGAAGAAACCTGGATGTAGATTAATATTTGGATAATATTCAATGGTGGCACTCTCAAGGATTTTCCTTCTGAGTGAGTTATTTTCTTTTTTTATGAGTGTAGCATTTTTAAAATCA